TTCTTCCTGGTGACTAAAGAACCTGTTCTTTGTTTTGTCTGCTATTTTCCAGATATATTATAAACATGCAATAGGAAGAGCAGTGTTCATGCAGCAACTAAATTCACAATCAAGAATTAAATATGTAATTCAAGGAGACTCTACCAGTGTCATCATCATCACCATCACTAGACCATAATCATAACACTGTGACCAACAGTCATTAGATTCTGTCCAGGTAGCAAATGCTATGCCAATTGCTTTGCATACACTATTACCAATCAGTTAATTAATAATATTAGCTTCACAGTGCCAGGAGGATAGTTACCAGAAATACAAAGAGTTCTATTACGAAAAATGTATATTGTGGTTGCTAGGCAAATGGTAAAAATTCTACACTGCTAGGAGAATGTCTATATTGGTGGATCTTCAGGCTTGGGGATGCTGTGGTTGGTTTGCTTATATTCTGGGGAAATAGGGCCCAACTGGATCCTGCCTAGGTAATTTTTATAGGCAGGTGAATAAGAAAGACTGCAGAAATCTTGGAGAAACCTGAGGCTAGATCTTGTCTTTTAATTCTCTAGTTGAGAAAGCTGTTGGTTGTGAACTGAGTCTTTGCTAGCAAGTCTTTGCCTTGCTGTGCTGGGATAATATGGATGCAGCATCAAATAAAGCAATCAAAAAGAAAATTCCTCTGAAACTCTCACTGGTATTTAATATTTTATTCATTCCCATGTTATTGTGCTTTGCCTGCGGTGAAACAGCCTCAAAACAGCCTCCTAGGAGTGAGGCATTAGGAGGCTGACAAGCATTTCCCCATGAATTGCTACTACAATACAATGGCATTTTGTTTGCTGTTTTGTTTCCTTGTCTCCTAACATTCTTTCTGACTTTCAAGGAAAAAAAGAAGAAGAAAAAGAAACCTCCTATGAATGGCAAAGAAAAGGAAAGAAAAGTTTCTTTTAAACTTTCAACCTTTTCCATTTGGTATTGGGTAGCATGTAAACATTTTTTTTTCTCATGGCATATAAGCTGGTAGTCTCTTTCCTTTTTGTGCTCCAAATGGCCTTTATTTTTCTTTTACCATGTAGCATTGCCTTTCCATTATTGATTCAAAAAATCGACAAGAAAAAAAAATCAACCGTGTACACATATTAAGAAAGGGAAGTCAGAGGAAGATGGATCAAACCATCCATCTATCCATATGGCCATTTATCAATCCACCTCGCTACCCACCCGCCTCTATTAAAATAAATAGCAGGCACTGTACACATTGCTGGTTGGCTGAAGTTGTGATCTGGACAAAAGGTCTGTTTGGGAAAAGGATGCTGACGCTCTAATTCTATTTGTGCCGGTTGAAAATCAGGAGGGGTTTTTCTACACTTCACTTTTATTAGATTATTTCTTATAGATGGTTTCTTTTTCCTCCCAGACGCGTGGTGGAGGCTGCTGAAGCAGTTGGTCTATAGTTGGAATAATTAAATTAACCATTTGGTACAACTTTTAGGGGAGTGCTCGCGTGTAGAAAGCACAACTCCGAACAAAACAGGGCGCCGGGGCTGAGGCTTGGCCTGGCCAGGCCCTGCACGCCTTTCATCTTGCAAGCAGAAGCAGGACACCAGGGCCACAAAAGACCAAAAGACGGACAGAGGGGACGAAAGCCAGAGACAGTGGGGGTGGGGAGGGATGGGTAGAGGGCCGGTGACAGTGAACAAAATAAACCTACAAGGCCCACAATGGGGAAAATGAAGTCAAGCGCATTTGCGCATCGGACCGTGAGGTCCCGCGCTGAAAGATCTAATACAAAGAGTCGTACAGCAACCGGTCCCGGCTGGGCACCAGGGGGCGCCCGGAGAGCATGTGGGCCCGCACCTCCACCTGAGAGCGGGTCCTTGTGGGTAGTGGAAGGTTTGGAGCAAAGGCGGCGGGAGTCAGGGGACGGAGCTCCCGCGAGTAGCAGGGTCGAAGTGGGGAGTGTGAAGCGGTGTCCAATTCTGGCCTCAGCGAGGCTTGCCATCCTCCACCCCTCTGGGCACTTGCGGGGGGAGGGGGGCGTGATAGACCTCCCGTCACCCCCTTCTCCAGGTGTCACCCTCAAACCTAGTCAACAACCTGGTTCCCTGAGCTCCACAAAGCACTATCTACACCCGCGCACAGGAACTGCCTCTGCGCACCGACTAAAGCCTAAAGTTCTATACTTTTCTTTCAAAAGAGCTATTCTCAAAAGTTGCACACTCTAGGCGACCCAGCTCGGCTTGAGGAACTTCTCCTTGTTTGAACCTAAGGTGGAATTACCCTGCATTCCAAGCGGACCAGGACCATCGGACTTAGGTTCCAGTCCTGGCACCGATCAACAGTGCCAACAGTGCGGGGCGGGGATGGAGCTTTCTAGGCCGAGGGTGCGCTCTTTATCCAGCACAGGTGCACCCTTGGGTGCACCAAGGCTCTGGCACCAGGAAGGGTGTCAGCCTGGTTATTGCCAAGCATGAGCCTTGAAATTGAAATGTATTCCCTTCTAGACTCTCCCCACTATTCTCTCCTGCTGAGAAACGTTTAACCACCTAAGCAGTGTAGGGAAAGGTTGCCCGGGTACCACCCAGACCTTTGCTGCCGGCACCCAAATGCCCCCAGTGAGGATTTGGGGCACAGGTCGTGTTAGAAAAACCAGGAAGCACCCCGGAAAAATCTGAGGGAATACAGAAATTTGAACAATCACTGCCTTGTGTTTAAGAACCAACTCCCCCCACCCCAACCTCCCCTTGAAGGAGGGGGGGAGGAAGGTGGGGAAATTCCCTGTGTAGCGTCCAAGGGGGCACAGCCACCTCCCGATCCAAATGCAGATTCATATTCATGAGAATAGGCTAAATAAAGACAAATCCCCACTGTAATAACACTTGTATTCGCATCCGTCTTTGCTGGCCTTTAGATTTAGGGGACTGAAGACAGATGTTTGCATCTCTTTTCTCTTCTTGTCTGGTGACCATAAAGAAAAACCATTTAGAGCGTTGCAATTTGTTTCCCGCCGCAGTAAAACCTTGTATACATTTATTTTCATTTCACCCCCATGCACAAAAAAGTGCACACTGGTCACCAAGGGCTCTTCTTTATCAAATACGCATTGTACGACATACAACTGCAATAAAACTATCAGCCCTCCCCCATAAAACTATCAGCAGGCTGCTTGGCGGCACCCGCCGCATCCACTCTAGACATTAGCGCTGCCTCAAGTCCAGAGGACGCACCAGCACCTGAAACCATCCTGAAACTCACCCAGCGGAGAAGCACAAGGCTGGGGGGCCGTTGTCCCTATTTAATCCATTACTGCGTCCGCTGCAGTTTAGTGCGCAATAAAACACCGTGGCCGAGGAGAGCGGGCGCCCATCCACTCCCCGGCACTAGCATCGAATTAAACCACTTAGTTTGGCAAACGCTGAACGCCTAAATGCCCCTATAAAGACTTTATGAGTTTGTTACTTTAATTACTGACTTGTTACAGAGCACATAAAGGGGGTAATGAATGCAATAAAACTAATTATCTACACATTTAATTCATATAAAATATCCAGGGTTTGTTTACACCACACGGCGATTCAACTAAGCATCCCCCCTCTTGTCCACCGAGAGGGAGGATTTAATGAAATAGTTTTCCTTATTCTGCTAGAGCCTAACGAACCAAATGAAAATTACCCTCTGTTTAAATCATAGAGCCACTAAGGTCCACAAATCACTGCTCACTTCTTTGTCTGTGCCTTGCTGCCAGCACCCAAGAGCCTGAGGACTTGGACAAGAAAAGTCTCAGACATGGAACCTGGGCATTTGACTCACTGCAGAAAGCCAACCGAAAGGGCAAAGAGACAGCAATCCTCTTTTGGAAGGCTCAGGTATGTAGGGGATTGTGGGCAGCTGAAGAAAGCCCAGGAGGAAAATAGAGAAGGCGGACTCCAGGCAAGAAGTGGAAGAGGAGACACATTTGGGGACATTTCATGCCTGCTTGCCACTTATGGCGTAATGAAAACAAACAACCATGCAGAACCTCCAAACCAACAAAATGCAGAAAGACACAGAATTAGCGTAAAGAAGCCATCAATTGAGAATCCAGATGTTTTACAGTCAAGAGTTTCACTCAGATGTTCTTTTATCTTTTAAGCAACGGTATAAGCTCAGTCTCCAGAAAAGAACATTAAGCCACGACAAGAAATGCAATTTATAAGTTGTTCTTTTTTTTCACCCCCTCTACCAGGTGTATTTTAAAGAAATCCACTTATCGTTCACATAAACCCCCTTGGCCCACTTACTCTATGTTACAGGGCGCCTGAGTCTTGCCAATGTCCCAGTCCTTTATAACATTTCATGCACTTCGGGGGGTAGACTTGTTGTTAAATTGAGCGTGTAACGCTCTTACAAAACAGGTTTTCTATGACATCAAGGTTTCTTCTCTCTAACCGAGAAAAAAAAAAGGATGAAGAAGGGGGAAAACACACACACTATCTCAATTTATGCCTAAGGTATATGATCAGTTAAAAAGGCTTAAAAGCTCGGGGAAATTGGATCAGGGAGAATCGTCACCCAACTTTCATTATTTCCAAGTAGTGTGATTGAATTAAAGGGCAGGGAGCTGGTTAGAAGGGAGGATCAGGGGCTCAGTGCGTAATGGTGTGGTATTAAATTCTAATTAGAGATGCAGGAATCAATGATAGGGAGGTTGGACAGCTCAGTTCCCCAGTGCCAGCCCAATAGACGGATGAGTTATTGTCATGTAAAAAGCGCCAGCAATAAGACCAACCGCTTTGCTATTGTCCAAGTGGAAAGAGCCAAGTTTATTATGAGGACTATATGCTCTAGAGACCTCAGACAAGGCATCTCATAGGAGGCTTTTTCATAAAACTAGGCTCTGCTGGTAGTAAGGAGGCCAGTTTGGAGGCAGGCGTTGAGCTGTGCACATCTCCCCACTCCAGCCACCTTCTCCATACCCATCTTTTATTTCATTTTTCCACTTGGCTGAGCCATCCAGAGCCTTTTCAATGTATAAAATGGAATATTCTTACCTCAATTCCTCTGCCTACGAGTCCTGTATGGCTGGGATGGACACCTCGAGCCTGGCTTCAGCCTATGCTGACTTCAGTTCCTGCAGCCAGGCCAGTGGCTTCCAGTATAACCCGATAAGGACCACTTTTGGGGCCACGTCCGGTTGCCCGTCCCTCACGCCGGGATCCTGCAGCCTCGGCACCCTCAGGGACCACCAGAGCAGTCCGTACGCCGCAGGTAAGGACCGCCAGCTTTCTCAGCGGTGGAAGCCGCCTTTCCGCTCGTATATAGGAAGCCTTGATTGCATTTGAAAATGGAAATGTGTTTAGTATTTACCAAACGAAATTTGCTTACACAAATGAAAGAATTTATCACGTTAGAAGCGATTGCAGGGAGGGGTAATTCACTTACAGGGTTACACTATCCTAGTCACACCCGAACCGCCAACAAAATTATCTTAAGCTGCCAAAATGATAGGCATAATTTATTTACTTTGCGATGAGACGTAAAGCTTAGAAAATAATTAAATAACAAAGAGTAAAGCTCATTACTGGCAGTGTCTCTTTTTTTAAGAGCCGACAGCGACTCACACCTCTTTGACTGGTCATTTTTACGATTATTTCTTTAATTTGGTATTTTTTGCAGCACTTTTCCCCAACTTTTGGGCTGGGTCGACTTCTGAGAATTGAAAAGTTCCAACTGTGGGATTGTTTGGTCATTTCTTCTCTGGATCCGTGACATTCCGACTGAGGTTTTTAGATATTTTCCCTCTCTCATTTTTTCTCCCAGGAGGGACCCCTCCAAAGCTCGCGACTCTGTTTCCGTGGATAACTGATTTACTCGGTTTCTCTGCAGCTCCGCTCAGCCACTCTCCCGAGCCGTGTCGGCGTTGGCTCTGGTGCCACCTGACCTTGGAGTCCCCACATTCCGACTCCGCGGCCTGCACGCTCCGGACCGACATTTTGCTCACCCTGTGTTCTTCTGTTTTCCCAGTTCCTTACAAACTCTTCACCGACCACGGCGGCCTCAACGAGAAGCGCAAACAGCGGCGCATCCGCACCACTTTCACAAGTGCACAGCTCAAAGAGCTGGAGAGGGTTTTCGCGGAGACGCATTACCCAGACATCTACACCCGGGAGGAGCTGGCGCTTAAGATTGACCTCACCGAGGCGCGGGTGCAGGTAAGCGCGCCCCGGAACCAAGCCGGCTACTCCGCGCGGGGTCCGGCTGCGGTGCAGTGAGGGACTAGCGGGGAGAGGGTACTACTGCTGCAGGTTCCAGAGACAAGGGCCAGGGACCCCGGGCTGAACTAAGAGACCAAGTTGGGAGTGGCTGTGCGCGCTAGGAAGGGTGAGGGGAGCGCGTTCTTGGCTATATGATCAAAGGTTTCCCACCTGGATAGAGAAGCAGAGGCATTGGTGGGCCTTGAGATGTGAATAAGAGAGGTTTTTCGGGGTCAGGAAGTGTCTTAGGAGTGCAGACCTTGTTCCTAATTATAAAATGGGGGCGGGGGCGGATGTTTGTCAAATGCCTCGGTTAAAGCGCTTTTAACTCGGAGCCGCGGCGCATAGAAGCATTTCTTGGAAACTTTAACTTAGCCCAGATTTGCAAAGGGGTTGGACTCCATGAAGGTCAAGAACCACGGTTAATCTTCCATGCACAGAGGTGCTCTCTAGCTGGCCTTAGTTCCTCGCCAGGTGAGCCCCCAGTGGAGGAGCGGTGCGCACGGTCGGAAGCTCCTCTGGGTCCAAAGGTCAGGTTGCATAGCAGGCACCAAACTCACGCCTCCTCCCCTCTTTGTATCAATTAGAGTTTAACTTTTGACCTGAGGCCTTGGGGGTCGATGGCGACATTGGGATAGCTCCTGAAACAGGCTACGCAAAGCCCGCCAAAAGGGGGGTTTCCATTTCAGGGACTTTTGGGGGGAATCTGCGGCCTTACCTTTCTGCAAACTGCCATCTCCCTGGCATACCCTGGTCTACCTAAAAAAGTTTCTCGGGAAATGCACCTGCGAATGGGCGGACAGGCACTGTGGGTGGGGATAACGGCGGCGAGTGGAATTGAAAACAAGCTGAAGTGAACGTGGGTCGTCCTAACCCGCAGTTTTCTTTACTCTTCTCTCCCTTCTCGCGCTGCTGCCCTGCCGCTCCTCCCCTCCCCGGCCAGGTGTGGTTTCAGAACCGCCGCGCCAAATTCCGCAAGCAGGAGCGCGCGGCGGCGGCGGCCGCGGCGGCGGCCAAGAACGGCTCCTCTGGGAAGAAGTCCGACTCGTCCCGGGACGACGAGAGCAAAGAGGCCAAGAGCACTGACCCGGACAGCACTGGCGGCCCGGGCCCCAACCCCAACCCCACTCCCAGCTGCGGGGCGAGCGGCGGCGGTGGCGGGCCCAGCCC